CCAATTGCCCCTAACTGCCCTCCCCTGCTGGCCTGGTTACCCCTAACTGCTCTCTTCTGCTGGCCTGATTGCCCTTAACTGTCCTCTCCTACAGGCCTGGTCCCTCCCAACTGTCAGCCCGGTTACCCCAAACAGCCCTCCCCTGCAGGCCTGGTCATCCCTAACTGCCCTCCCCTGCTGACCAGATCTTGCACAGCTGTCCTCCTCTGCCAGCCATCTTGTAGCAACAATCTTGTGTCCTCATCTTTGACCACATGGAGGCAACTATCTTGTGTGTTGGAGTGATGGTCAATTTGCATACTACCTCTTTATTTCATAGGATATTCATATACTTGCACAGAATTACCAAGGTCATTGAAGTAAGAGAAACCAACTACTTCTACTTAATAAGAGTTTCAGTTTTTCTTCCTTTAGTCATTGCAACCCTTAGAGATTTAGATATCTGCTGCATTCTAGAAATAAAAGACTGTAAAGCCTAGTACAGAACTTGATATATAGCATTTCCCCAATAATATAGTGTTGAATTCAACTTTGGAAATAGACTATGTTGCCAGTTTCAGTTTTTCTGTTATTATTATCAGAGTTCCAAGTTGAATCCTGATATGGAGAGCCTTTGACACCCTGAAAGATGTGGCTTATATTTTTAGCTCACATTTATGATGTACCTCAAAGATAGATCCATAAAAGAAACATTTGCTGCTCGATTAACATACATCTCATGCCTCTCCATCCAAATCAATTTCTTCCACTGTAATCAGACTTGACTTTCTTAATATACTATTTCCTCTGCTATCACCATGGCTACTGACAGTGGCCCAGGTGTGACATGGAAAGTGCTCAAAGAACTGTAGCAATCGAAGTACAAGACCATATATGGTAGCATTTCTTGAGGGAAACTGACTTGGCTATTACCATAATAGAATTTTTATCTGGTCTGTTTTGAGTTAACACAGGATTTGAGGCAGTATTCAGGACAAACTCAACCATATAGAATTTTATGGTCTTGCTCTTCCTTCCTTCAAGGCTATTTATTCTGTTCTATCTTGCTGTGGCTTGGTAGGTTCCAACTCATATTGTAATTAACTTTCATACAGATCATGATAAGTCTTTAAGTACTATGAGGATTAAGTAGAGCCATAAAAAATTAGACATCTAACTTCCAAAGGTATATTCAAACAATTTATATCAAGTAGCTTCATATTGGAGAGCCTAAGATAAAAATATTCTCAGCTCTAGAAGAGATGAGTAGTGTATGTGTGTGAAAAGGTCAGGCAGATAGACAAAATTGTGTGATAGGCCTTGTTTTACCTTTATAATGAAATACAATCAGTCTTTTGCCTACTCAAAATTATCCTGTTTCTATAAGGAAACTAACTAAAGTACTTACCAAATACCAGAAGAAAGTATATTTGAGGAATGTTACATAGCAGTGAAAATAAATGACAGATGTATGTGAAAGAACATAAATTAATTTCAATGTCAAGTGAAAACAAGCAAGTCCCACATAAACCCACACTGTGACAATTTTAGAAAATACAGAAATAAGCAAAACTAGAGGCCATAGTTATTTCAAAAGGAAATAATTCAGATAATGATTATCAAGTGGAATATGAAAATGGAAGCAGAGACATGGGGAGGAATGAAAAACAGGGAATATGAAAGATATTTGAAATGTTGTATATTGGGTTCATGGTTGGTTATATAACATACACATAGAAGAACACACCAAATGTGTCAAATATCATATAGAAAGAAAAACAGCAAGGTTTTTATTCAGTCATCCAATAGGTCATCTTTGGCTATTGACTCACAACTTTTCACTAGCTATCTTTTTCATGTGTAATGGCACCTTCTCTTGGTGAAGCTAAATATCTGTTGCCAAGTTAATTAGTCTACCTCATTCCATCTTAAACTGTTAAAGAAATTCTAAAATATTAGCATGTAAATATGTAGCTTTCTGTATTATAATTTATCATAACTGCTGGTTTCTTGATGACTGCTTGATGTTTATTTAAAGTAGGAAAATGCCTTAGGTAAATGCAGAATTTTCTTTTACCTTCAGTTCCAACAAAAGGAAAAGGGATCCCCAGGAATAAGGAAAGCCTGGATCCCAATCCCATTGCCCAAGATGATATGTTTTCACCTGATTTCACATTACAAAGAAATTTAATCATTACTCAAGTTTCTTGCATATCTGCCCTCAGAAAATACTCCAAAGGTAAGATCAGTCAGAACTATGTATAATCCTTCTCTCTCCACAGTCAAATTTGATTGTATATATATATATTGACTCTCTTAAAATATGTGATGTTGGGTTTCCCAACCCTTAAAAATATCAAACAAACCAAGGAAGTATATTAATGTGTTGGTTTGCCATATCTAACACTTGCTGGACTCAATACTATAGAAACTAGCTCTATTAACTTGGCAAAATCATTTCTCCTTCCCTAGTGATTCCATAATACCTGCCCTACCCAGTTAGCATGCCTTGCTCATCCTTTTCCAGTGATTCCTCCACACAAGCAGTCTGCCTCAGATAATGATGAGAACATTCCTAAAAGCTCCCAAAGATCCACAAACCCTGAACAAACCATGGCTAGTCTCAGTGTCCTAGACCTTGCTAAGCTACCCAAAGCCTAGCACAAGTAGTGACTGGTTTCAATTTGTGTTATAATTCCCAAAAGGTAGCTCAAAGTCTGGCATAGCCAGTGGCCAGTTTTGACTTAGAATGTAGTCTCAATTAAATGGCCACACACAATTGGCAGCCAGCACTGATTCACCAAATAACCTCTTCCAAATTACCTCTAAGTCCAGAACAAGTGGCAACCAACCTCAGATCACTTTGTAACTCCCATCAAGGGGCCCCAACCTGGGTTCAAGAGGTGACTGAACTTGACCTGCACCTGATCCCATCCCAAGAGATCCCAGAATTAAGAAACCTATTTGGCTGGCTTCAGATCACACTAGGATATCACCCAACAAACCCCACAAACAACACACCTGAAGGGGATGGTGGCACAATGATGATGATAGTTTAAAGGATCTCTGAGACAGCATCAAGGATACCAACATGGACATCATAGGGGGATTAGAAGGAGAAGAGAGAGAGCAAGGGATTGAAATATACATAGAAGTTCAGGAAGCTCAGATTCCTAAACAAGATGAACCCAAAAAGGCCTCTATCAAGATACATAATAATCAACATGCTAAAGATTAAAGACAAAGAGAGGATCTTAAAAGTAGCAAGAGAAAAGCAGTTAGTTATGTACAAGGGAGATCCCATAATGTCAACTGGTTTCTCAACAGAAATTGCATGCCAAAGTGAGTGGCGCGATTTATAGGGATGAAAGGCAAAGACTTGCAACCAAGATTATTCTACACAGCAAATCTATGGTTTTTATAATAAAAAAGAGCTTCCCAGACAAGAAAAAGCTAAAGCAGTTTGTTTCCAATAAACCAATTATTTAAGAAGAAAATAAAATATAAAAATATGAATCAGAAAATATAGGAAACTCTCAATGAAAAAGGCAAATGATAAAAGCAGTGAATCAATCAACTATAAAGCTAGTGTAAAGTTTAAAAGACAAAATTAGGGAGATTTTGTATGATTATAACAATAAGTTAAGGTATACACACAAATGCACACACACAAAAAGTAAAAAGATGACAAAAACATAAATATGGAGTAAAAATGGTTGTGATCCTAGACTGTTTTTGAATAAATAGGTTGCTACAAACACAGCTTGGTACATATGAAGTGCATGGAAGCCACAGACAAAAGAAATCTATGATACGCAATAAATAAATATAAAGGAATCCAAATGTAACACTATAGAAAGTCATCAACATACAAGATAGGAGAATAAGAGAATAGGAAAGAAACAGAGAATAAGTATAAAAACAATCAGAAAATAATTAATAAAATGGTAATAACTGCATACATATCAATGACTTTACATGTGAATTGACTAAATACTCCAAACAAATGACACAGTTGCTAAATAGATTAAAAAAAGAAAAGATCCGATGTGGACAAGATGGCAACCGAAGAGATGGACTTGTTCTGTCCCTGATCTCAGAACAGATAAAAGCAGCGTCTGAGTTGCTCACGGAATGTTGATTGGCAGCTAAGGGGCAGCTGAACTCTCGAGGAAGGTAAGGAAGGGTCCGCTGGACAGGATTTCCTGACCAAGAGGCCAGCACTGCGGCGACAGAGACCTCTCGGGCTCGGAGGGAAGGCTGTGCCATCTTACCAGGAAAGGAGGATCTAATCTGAGACCTGGAAAACCCACAGCAGAGGAGTCCATCAAGCAGCTGTGACGCCCCAATCGGCGCAAACACATGGATTCAAGGGAGTTCTTCAATCACCCAGGGGAAGAAGGAACACCACATAACCAGACAATCCTAAAAAGAGAGACCATGGGGAGACAAAGAAATAGCCTGCACATGAAAGAAAAGCAGGCATCACAGAAAAGGCAGTAAATGAGTCAGAGGCAAGCAGCCTACCAGAGCAAGAATTCAGAATAATGATCATAGGATGGCTAAAAAGAATGGAAGAGAAATTTGACAATAACCAAGAAGAAATGAGAAAGAACCATAAAAAATTGAAAAAGAAACAATAGGAATTGAAGAAGAACCAAAAAAAAAAAAAAAAAGAAAAAGAAAAATGACATCGCTACCATTAAGAACTCAATAGAAAGCATCAAGAGTAGACTAGATGAAGCAGATGATCACATCAGTGAGCTAGAAGACAAGATGGAAAAAAATACCCAATTAGAGCAGCTTCAAAAAAAAAAAAAAGATTAAAAAACTGGAGGAGAGCCTAGGGAGCTTTGGGACAATACAAAACAAAATAATATTCAAATAATAGGGGTTCCAGAAGGAAAGGAAACTGAGGTAGACATGGAAAAAGTATTTCAAGAAATAATGACAGAAAACTTTCTTGAGATAGAGAAGAAAAACCCACACAAATCCAAGATGCTTGCAGAGTCCCAAGCAAAATGAATCCCAGAAGACAGACACCAAGGCACATTATAATTAAATTGGCAAACAACAACGACAAAGTAAGAATCTTAAAAGCAGCCAGAGAGAGACAGAAAGTGACATACAAAGGAACCCCCATCAGAATAGCAACTGATTTCTCAACAGAAACTTATCAGGCCAGAAGGGAATGGGATGAAATATACAAAGTCATGCAAAGGAAGGGTCTGAATCCAAGAATACTGTACACAGCAAGGCTATCAATCAAAATTGAAGGGGAAATCAGGAGCTTCACAGACAAAAAAAGACTGAAGGAATTTATCTCCACCAAACCAGCAATGCAAGAAATGCTAAAGGGTCTACTGTAAAAATAAAGAAATAGGAAGTGAAGAAGGAACATGGGTATAGAATAAAAATGGCATCAAATGAGTACCTATCAATAATAACCTTAAATGTAAATGGATTAAATGCGCCAATCAAAAGACATAGGGTAACAGATTGGATAAGAAAACAAGACCCATACATTTGTTGTCTACAAGGAACCCACCTCAGAAAAAAAGATGCACACAGACTGAGGGTGAAGGGATGAAAAAAAGTTTTCCAGGCAAATGGAAATTAAAAAAAAGCTGGGGTAGCAATACTTATATCTGACAAATTAGATCTCAGGATGAAGGACATAACAAGAGATAATGAAGGCCACTTCATAATACTAAAGGGAATAATCCAACAAGAAGAAATAACCCTGGTAAATATATATGCACCCAATACAGGAGCAACCAAATACATTAAAAAACAAACAAACAAACAAAAAAAAAACTGCTGGAGGACATTAAGGGAGAGATTAATAGCAATACAATCGTAGTAGGAGATTTTAATACCCCACTGTCACCCTTCGACAAATCATCTAAACAAAAAATCAGCAAAGAAATATCAATACTAAATGACTCACTGGACCAGATGGAATTAATTGACATCTTCAGAACATTCCACCACAAAGCCACAGAATATACATTCTTCTCAAGTGCACATGGGACATTCACAAAGATAGACCACATTTTGGGACATAGGCAAAGTCTCTTCAAATTCAAGAAGATAAAAATCATATCAAGATCTTCTCAGATCATAATGGCATAAAACTGGAAATTAACTATAATAAAAATAATCCAAAGAAATCAAACACATGGAGACTATACAGCATGCTATTATACAAGGGATGGGTTACCAGAGAAATCAAGGAAGAAATTAAAAACATCCTGGAAACAAATGACAATGAAAACACAACAATCCAAAATCTATGGGACACAGCAAAAGCAGTTTTGAGAGGGAAGTTCATATCCTTACAAGCCTATTGCACAAAACTAGAAAAAAATGGTAACAAATGATCTAACTCTACAACTCAAAGAGTTAGAAAAAGAGCAACAAGAAAAGCCCAGTGTAAGCAGAAGAAAGGAAATAACAAAAATCAGAGCAGAGATAAACGACATAGAGACCAAAGAAACAATACATAAGATCAACAAAACCAAGAGCTGGTTCTTTGAAAGAATAAATAAGATAGAAATAGAAAAGCATCAAGATCCGATGTGGACAAGATGGCGACCGAAGAAACAAAGAGAGAGGACCCAAATAAACAAAATCAGAAATGAAAGAGGTGAAATAACAACAGACCCCACTGAAACACAACGGATTGTTACAAAATACTATGAACAACTCTATTCCATCAAACTCAACAACCTGCAGGAAATGGAAATATTCCTAGAAAAATACAAACTGCCAAAACTCAATCAGAAAGAATCTAAAAATCTCAATAGACCAGTGACTTGGGAAGAAATTGAAACAGTCATCAAAATGCTTCCAGCAAACAAAAGCCCAGGGCCAGATGGCTTCACAGGAGAGTTTTACCAAACATTCAAGGAAGAACTAAAACCTATCCTCCTCAGACTATTCCAACAAATTCAAGAGAAAGGAACACTTCCAAACTCCTTCTATGAAGCCAGCATCACCCTAATACCAAAACTGGAATAAAGACAACTCAATGAAAGAGAATTAGAGGCCAATATCCCTTATGAACATAGATGCCAAAATCCTCAACAAAATTCTAGCAAATCGGCTCCAGCAGAGCATCACAAAGATCATACACCATGACCAAGTAGGATTTATTCCAGGAATGCAAGGATGGTACAATATCCGCAAATCAATAAACGTGATACATCACATAAACAAATTGAAAGATAAAAATCATATAGTCATATCAATTGATGCAGAAAAAACATTTGATAAAATCCAACACCCTTTCCTGATAAAAACTCTTAACAAGGTGGGAGTACAAGGATCATACCTCAACATAATAAAAGCTATATATAATAAACCCACAGCCAACATTATACTCAATGGGTAAAAACTAAAACCCTCTAAGAACAGGAACAAGACAGGGATGCCCACTCTCACTACACCTGTTTGACATAGTACTGCAAGTACTAGCCATTGCAATAAGACAAGAGGAGGAAATAAAAGGCATCCAATTTGGAAAAGAAGTAAAGTTATCCTTATTTGCAGATGACATGATATTGTACATAAAAAACCCAAAAGACTCCATTAAAAAACTAATTGACTTAATAAATGAATTTGGCAATGTAGCAGGATATAAATTAAAGCCAAGAAATCCATGGCATTTCTATATACCAACAGTGAAACTACAGAAACAGAGACTAAAAATGCAATTCCAGTTACCATCGCACCAAAAAAATTACGATACCTAGGAATAAATTTAACTAAGAAAGTAAAGGACCTATATGCGGAAAACTATACGACACTGAAAAAAGAGATAGAGGAAGATGTAAAGAAATGGAAGAACCTACCATGTTCATGGATTGGTAGAATCAACATCATCAAAATGTCCATACTTCCTAAAGCAATCTATAGGTTCAATGCACTCCCCATTAAAATACCAACGGCATATTTCACCGACCTAGAAAGAACTCTCCAAAAGTTCATTTGGAACAATAAAAGACCCCGAATAGCCATAGCAATCCTGAAAAAGAAGAGTAAAGTAGGAAGGATTTCAATACCAGACTTCAAACTATATTTCAAAGCCACTGTTCTCAAAACAGCCTGGTACTGGCACAAGAACAGACATATAGATCAATGGAATAGAATCGAGAACCCAGATATCAACCCAAATCACTATGCTCAATTAATATTTGACAAAGGAGGCATGAATATACAATGGAGTCAAGACAGTTTCTTCAGTAAATGGTGTTGGGAAAATTGGGCAGACACATGCAAAAGAATGAAACTAGATCACCATACACAAAAATAAACTCAAAATGGATACAGGACTTAAACATCAGATGGGAAACCATAAAAATACTAGAAGCATCCACAGGCAGCAAAATTTCAGACCTATGCCAAATGAACTTCTTCACTGATAATGCCCCTAGGGCAATGGAAGCTAAAAATAAAATAAACAAATGGGACTACATCAAAATCAAAAACTTTTTTACAGCAAAAGAAACCATCAACAAAACAACAAGAAAGCCCAAGGTGTGGGAGAACATATTTGCAAATAATACCACTTATAAAGGTTTAATCTCCAACATCTACAGACAGCTTATACAACTAAATAAAAGGAAGATGAATGATCCAATTAAGAAATGGGCAATGGACCTAAATAGAATATTTTCAAAAGAAGACAGAAGGAAGGCCAAAAGGCACATGAAAACATGCTCAAAGTCACTATCTGAGAGATGCAAATCAAAACAACAATGCGGTAACATCTCACACCTGTCAGAATGGCCAACATCAACAAATCAACAAATGACAAGTGTTGGCGAGGTTGCGGAGAAAAAGGAACCCTCGTGCACTGCTGGTGGGAATGCAGACTGGTGCAACCACTGTGGAGAACAGTGTGGAGTTTCCTCCAAAAACTGAAAATGGAACTCCCATTTGAGCCAGTAATCCCACTCCTAGGAATATATCCCAAGAAGCTAGAAACACCAATCAGAAAGGATACATATGCATCCCTATGTTCATAGCAGCACAATCTACAATAGCCAGAATATAGAAACAGCCTAGGTGCCAGTCAGCAGATGATTGGATCCAAAAATGATGGTACATCTACACAATGGAATACTATGCCGCCATAAAAAAGAAGGAATTCTCATCATTTGCAGCAACCTGGATGGAATTGGGGAACATCATGCTGAGTTAAATAAGCCAATCAATGAAAGAGAAACACCACATGACCTCACTCATTTATGGATAATAAAGAACATTATAAACTGATGAACCAAGAGACAGATATAGAGACAGTAAAGCAACAGGCAGACTGTCAAATTACAGTGGGGAGGGGAGGGAGATCTGGGGGAGATAATAGATCAACCGAAGGATGTGTATACATGCATATAAGTACAACCAGTGGACATAAAACTCTGGATAGGGAGGGTATGTATGAGAGGGAGGGAGGGGGGCAAAAAAATCAATAAAATATATTAAAATAAAATAAAATAAAATAAAATAAAAAATAAAATAAAAAAAGAAAAGATCCATACAGATGCCTCCTACAAGAGACCCATTTCAAATTGAAAGTCACCTACAGATTGAAAGTAAAGGAATGGACAAAATTGTTTTATGCAAATGGAAACAAAATTGTTTTATGCAAATGGAAACATTAGCAATACTTATATGTAAATACGCATTCAAACAAAGGTTGTTACAAGAGGAAAAGAGGGCCCTTCAGAATGATAAAGTAATCAGTCCAACAAAAGAATATATCTTGTAAGCATCTGTGTACCCAATGTAGCAGCACCTAAATATATAAAGTAAATATTGAAGGCTATAAAGAGAGAGATAAACAGTAATACAATAATAGTAGGGAATTTTAACACCACATTGACATCAATGAGGAAACTGGCCTTAAATGACACATTAAATCAGATGGATTAATTGATATTTTTGGAACATTTCACCTCAGCCCAGCAGGATATACATTATTTTTAAGTGCACATAGAAGATTTTTTTGATGATAGACTACTTGTTAGTTCATAAAACAGATCTCAATAAATTTAATAAGTTCTAAATCATATTATCTTATCCAATAAAATGGTATACAATTAGAAATCAAATACAAGAAGAAAACAGAAAAACACACAAATATGGGGAGGCTAAATAACATGCTACTAGAATATGAATAGGTTAACAACAAAGAAGAAATAAAAAGCTACCTGAGAGGGGGGGAGGGAAAGAAAATATGACTCCAAATCTATGAGACATAATCAAAATAGTTATAAGAAGGAAATTCATAGTAATACAAGCCTACTTTAAAAAATAAGAAAAGCCGAAACCAGTTTGGCTTGGTGGATAGAGAATTAGC